TTTAACACAGTGCCACATGAAAGACTGATTAAAAAGATAGAGGCTCATGGTATTGGGGGTGCTATATTAAGTTGGATTAGGGCATGGCTATACCAAAGGAAACAGAGTTAGTGTAAATGGTGTTAAGTCAGAATGGGAAAATGTTGTAAGTGGAGTGCCTCAAGGTGCAAGGAGACGCAACCCAGTATGGTGCAAAGCATCAAGACGGCGAAGAGTAGAAGGAGAAGCAGAAGAGTATGCAGGGCAACCATAATCGAGTTTAGACAGGACGAGAGAGGAGTGCAAATAGATAAGCGTGCGCCTATCCGCTCCCCAAGAAGTATGGGACAAAACCTTAAGTAGGTTAAGGGCCTTAGAGCATTCAACTCGGAAGTAAGAGATATGGGCTGACCAAGACAAACTAGTGTCAAAGACTAACCCCCAAAAAGTTACACCGTAAACACTGAGGATAACGTGTAAAGCACAGGTGTTACACATGAAATTTAGATAATTAATAATGAATAAAACCTGACCCTGCTCGGGTGGTAGTTTCCTGTAGCTTAACCAACTAACCAATCTGTAAGTCATATGGCTCATTTGTAAAATAACTTACAAATAAATGGGGTTTGTTGGATATTTAGCACACTGTTTCGTGTAGCCTCGGCAGCAAATATCAACTATTTTGAGTAATATTGCGTTCTTAGACTCGCTGGAAGTCATTTTGGGTGTTGTGGGAGGCACCCTCTGCCACAGCTCAAGTTTCACCAACAACTAAGATTACTTTCTCCCCTCCTGCAGCGTCAGCCTCATACTCAACATGTTTTCATTGAGATTTCGAAGGAGGAACGGGTTTGATGTCAAATCATTATTGAATATATTATTAATTTAGTAGATTCATTTTATTTTAGTTTCAGTCCTGAGGCTGATGATATTAGTGAAACATTTGCTAAATAGATTAAGAGACGAGACGATGACGACGCTAGGAAATTAACCCCGTTTTCTAGAGTAAAGTCATCATTTCCAATCTCTTTTATGAATAATGCATTTATTTACAATGTAATTAATAAAACCAGCACCAATTTATTTTTACCTGTTGCATTAACAATCTATGGACTCCTGGTTCAACCTTGAAGACGAGCGGACGTCTGGACATCTCTGCCTGGGAGCCCCCGGATCACGTTCTGTTTTCGTGATTTGGATTTGATACTGCCGTTTGGCATCCCTATTCAACGGTCCAGTTGTACGACGCCTGGCACGTATATCGCCTTGGGTCATGGTAAGACCTTTTTGGCAGTTACCTTTGTTCTTATGTTCTTATGTTCTTATGGTATTGTTGGTAGATTTTATTTTTTTGATGTGTTTTGGCTGGTTCTCTCGACGAGGTGACGGTATCCGGCGCCGGCTTCGCCAAGAGGTGCCGGGGGTTGGCAGGCCTTGGTGGGCTCCTGGTGTGCCCTCAGCCTTGATGGGCTGAGACGCTTCTGCTCTGCCGAAGGGCACTGGAGGACTTTTGCGTTTTAGCTGGGGGCCGAGTTTTTGGTTTTGCTACCCAGTGTTCTCTGTGTGGGTCGAGGATATTGCTTGTCACCCTGAGGGACTTCTGGGGCTCCCCAATCATTTGCCTGTCTGCGTTTCTTTGCCGCGAGGCATATTCGTTTCAAGTGATTCGCGTCACTCGTTTCGCGATTTGGCTTGATGTTTCACCTTTCTGGGCTTCGCAATTAACCCTTAATGAGTACGCCGGGGCGTATTCGATCCCTCGATCGTCGTCGCCCTAAATCAACAACAACGTCAACAATCTATAGGTGATGTTGGATTTATTCTCCACGTAATTCAGAGTGGGGGGGGGTAAAGGTGGGGGAGGAGGAGAAAAATACAGGTCAGAGTCCAATGTTTATGACTGACGAGTACTTCATAACTCCTCTTCAGAATTATTATAGTACCGTTTTAGTTTAATTAAAACTCTTGTGCAGCAGTTCGTACAGGACGGATGTCCCATACTGGAATTGCAGGTGGCTACCTACCTTGAGGCTACCTTGAGGTGCTTCCGGGGCTTAGTGTCCCCGCGGCCCGGTCGTCGACCAGGCCTCCTGGTTGCTGGACTGATCAGCCAGGCTGTTAGACGCGGCTGCTCGCAGCCTGACGTATGAGTCACAGCCTGGTTGATCAGGTATCCTTTGGAGGTGCTTATCCAGTTCTCTCTTGAACACTGTGAGGGGTTTGCCAGTTATGCCCCTTATGTGTAGTGGAAGCGTGTTGAACAGTCTCGGGCCTCTGATGTTGATAGAGTTCTCTCTCAGAGTACCTGTTGCACCTCTGCTTTTCAACGGGGGTATTCTGCACATCCTGCCATGTCTTCTGGTCTCATGTGGTGTTATTTCTGTGTGCAGGTTTGGGACCAGCCCCTCAATTATTTTCCACGTGTAAATTATTATGTATCTCTCCCGCCTGCGCTCAAGGGAGTACAGATTTAGGCTCTTTAGTCGGTCCCAGTAATTTAGATGTTTTACTGAGTGGATTCTAGCAGTAAAGGATCTCTGCACGCTCTCTAGGTCAGCAATTTCTCCAGCTTTGAAAGGGGCTGTCATTGTGCAGCAGTACTCCACTCTAGATAGCACAAGCGTTTTGAAAAGTATCATCATCGGTATAGCATCTCTAGTGTGAAAAGTTCTTGTTATCCAACCTGTCATTTTTCTTGCAGTTGTGACGGCTACTTTATTGTGTTCTTTAAAGGTAAGGTCTTCCGACATGAGTACACCCAGGTCCTTTACATTGCCTTTTCGTTCTATGTTATGATTTGCCTGAGTTTTGTACGTGGTTCCTGTTTTTATGTTTTCAATTTTTCCGTAGCGCATGAGCTGAAACTTATCCTCGTTGAATACCATATTATTTTCTGTAGCCCATAGAAAGACCTGATCTACATCTGATTGGAGGTTTGCCGTGTCCTCTATGTTGCCAACTCTCATGAAAATCCTAGTGTCATCTGCAAAGGATGATACAGTGCTATAGGTTGTGTTCTGGTCTATGTCCGATATGAGGATGAGAAAAAGTACTGGAGCAAGCACAGTACCCTGGGGGACTGAGCTCTTCACGGTTGATGGGCTGGATTTTATTTTGTTGACTATTACACATTGGGTTCTGTCAGTCAGGAAATTGTAGATCCATCTGCCTATTTTCCCGGTAATTCCTTTTGAACGCATTTTATGTGCAATAACACCATGGTCACATTTATCAAAAGCTTTTGCGAAATCTGTGTAAATTACATCAGCGTTTTGTTTGTCTTCCATAGCATCTAATGCCATATCATAGTGGTCCAGCAACTGCGACAGGCAAGAGCGCCCTGTTCTGAAACCATGTTGTCCGGGGTTATGGAGATGCTGTGATTCCATGTATTTTGTGATCTTACTTCTTAGCACTCTCTCAAAAATTTTTATGATGTGCGATGTTAGTGCTATCGGTCTGTAATTTTTTGCCTCTGCCTTATTTCCTCCTTTATGGAGTGGTGCTATCTCTGCTGTTTTTAGTATGTCAGGGATAACGCCAGTATCTAGGCTTTGTCTCCACAGAATGTGAAGGGCCTGCGATAGTGGTTTTTTACAGTTCTTGATGAATATGGAGTTCCAAGAATCCGGGCCTGGTGCAGAGTGCAAGGTGAGGGAGTTCTCTGAGCGACTTCATTTCCTGCTAGCTCCACAGGAACTAAAAACAGTTCTAGATGACAGGACTCCTGAGAACTTTGCTACAGTAGCTGGTTGTACCTCAAGGATACGCCGAGATAGGCAGGGGTCCAGGAGGTGGGGGTTGCAGTGTGCCATGTAGAGCATGTACCCCTTTCCTGAATTGCCTGCCACCCATCATTTATCAGGCTGTTGGATAAAGTTGAGAGACGGGCAAGAAGGCTCATCTCTAGTCTTGACCAAGTCTGGTGGGAACGGTCTGAACATCAGAGTCTGCAACACCGTTGGGACGTTGATGGCCTTACTGTTATGTACAAGGCCAGCATCTTCAAAGTTCCACACCTGGCCCAACTCTTTGGACTACCAGCTGGCTGTGATACAGTTGACTGTAGGCTCATCCTGTTCCTCATGTGATTGTTACCTAATGCTGTTACTGAATAAAGGCTATTCCTACTGATGAATATAACAGACTATAAAATAAATGGGTCTCTAGGAGTAGGATTACAACTTACCGGATGCAGGATTAAAGCTCTTGCTTGCAATTTCACTAGGTTACTTATATGATAGTTCCCTAAATGATAGTATCAAAGTATATTCTCATTAAATAAATGAGAGTCTAGGAGCAGGCTTCAGATGAGCTTAGGTAGGATAAGAGCTCTTGCATGCAGTTTCACTAAGTACGTCATTTGATAGCCCTTATGAACCCTAGTCTTAGTTTAAAAAGAGATCAGAGAGAGAGAGAGAGAGAGAAAGAGAAAGTGAGAGAGAGAGTGAGAGTGAGTATACATGAGGTCTCTGAGGAAGAGGAAGTACCAGATGATGATTCGTTTACTAGCTGTTATCTTTTAATCATTCCTGTTAGTGAATTATTATAATTTACAAGTTATCTGTTTGCCGTGTAAATATATATTGTTCTTTCTTTTATTAACTAGCAAAGCAAACACCATCTGTGTGTCAGTGTTTGCTGGAGCCAAGCTTTCCTGCTATGATTTAGATCTATCCTTCCGCTCTTAAAGGTCATCGGTCAGTGAGCCAACCCCGTGCACAAGCGACCTCAATGTTCTCCACCTGTTCATATGATGAAGAACAACCTCCAATATTTAACTTGCGATACTTACCTCGCTTTTAAGTGTGGAAATACTTTAGGCTTTAATACTGGGCTGTGTTTATGGGTGAAATGTACTTGTTCATTGACCAGTAAACTATTGTGGTGGAGTGATTTACCCAGCTGTGGCCTCACCATCACCAGCCGTGGCCTCACCATCACCAGCCGTGGCCTCACCATCACCCCCAGCTTGGGAAAACCTTCACCTGGTGGCTCTGAATATATCATAACCTGCAGTTGCCACTTGCCAAATGCTGCCACCTGTGACAATTGCTTTTAAGCGTAAGCCGCTTAGCCGAGCGCTCTCTGTACGCGCTTGTATTTGTTGGAGAATAAAGTTAGCGAATTTTCGAGAGCTGGCCATTAACGTGTGTCGTAAACAGGTAGTCGTCCGGAATATACAAGACGATGTTAGTTGTTGGTGTGTATGAGAGGAAGGCGTGGTAGGGGCGGGTCTGCAGGCCAGGAAGCAGACTCGTCAGTCACACAGGGTCTGCTACACTGGGAATCTGCGTATTACTGGAACAGCGCTTATCAGCCAGTATTCTTAATGCAACAGTGTGAATGTTCTCGCCTTGTTGTGCTAGCAGGGTCGTACTTCTGCTCCTAGTCTCGTCTTTCGAGAGAGTTCACCAGCAGACTGGTGAGTTTGGCTGCTGCTTGATGACGGGCAGCCTTAGGGATGTGGGGCAAGGTCCTGGTGGACGTCGCTTTGATTGCTTCAAGCAGATTATCTGCTGAAATGAAGTTGAGGGAGGTATTGTTCCTCGCTCCTGCAGCAGGTTGTCCATCGTCACTGCCCCGGGGCAGGCGCCTAGACCCTAGACAACCACCTGAATTGAGAGAATGATAGCGGACAGTTCCATTTGAATTGAGACGATACCGTCTGTCACACACTTGACAGTTTCCTCTTGGGTGGCCATCTTCTTGGCTGGAAAGAGGCTGTGTGTCAGGTGCGACATGTGCCATGCCTAGATGTGATGACGCCTGGCTGCCCGCTGAGTGCACCCTCTCCTTCCCAGGTGGAGAGTAACACGGCAAGCATTACCCTCCTGGGGGAGTTGGGCATGGTCTGGGCACCGTGTGTGGGTAGGCTGTGTGTTGATGGGCGGCTGGCTGGGTAGGGCGCAGGTAGCGGGGTGGGGGAAGATGGCGGGCGGGGGTGGTGGAGGGGGGGGCACACGAGGGAGGCTGCCGTCACACTTGTTACACACTATCAAACACTCGGGGAAATCACTAGTGCACTTTGTTTTTAGCACTACACTCACCGATTTGCTTATGAACGCACTAACTTTCCACTAACATCACTGTAGGCAGCTCGAGAGCCTCCCCATCACTCCCCCCTTCCCCCCGTACCCCGCCTTGGGGGCTGGTGGGTGGCGGCACTGAGACGCCGGCGACCCTCCCCTCACCCTCACCCATACACTGTACCTGCCTCGCCATACACAAAGCTCAGACAACGCACCTTTCAACGTTCATAGTGTTGGAATGAAGGAGATATTCCTTGACACTCGTTTGTCTTGGTCTCCCCATATCTCTTACCTCCGTGTTGAGTGCTCTAAGGCCCTTACCCTCCTTCGGGTCTTGTCCCATACTTCTTGGGGGGCAGATAGGCGCACTCTCCTTGCTTTACATTCCTCTCTCGTCCTGTCTAAGCTCGATTATGGTTGCCCTGCTTACTCGTCTGCTTCTCCTTCTACTCTTCGCCGTCTTGATGCTTTGCACCATACTGGGTTGCGCCTCAGTTCTGGTGCCTTTCGTTCGACTCCCATCCTTAGCTTGTATGTTGACACTGGCCTCCTGTCTCTCCAGGACCGCCGTGATCGCTACTGTCTTCGCTATCTTGCGCGGTCCTTGCAACATCCTTCCTCTCGCCTCTGTCGTGCTTTAACTTTTACCCCTCCTGCGGTTCCTGTTCCTCTTCACCACCTCCCTCTTTCTGTCCGGTTATCTCGCCTACAGGATTCTCTCTCCGTTCGTATTTCTGATGTTTCTCCTCGTGTTGTTCCTTCTTTGCCCCCGTGGAGGGTCCCTCTTCCGCGGTTTTGTACTTCCTTGACCCGTATCACTAAAGCTTTTACCCCTCCTACGGTTCTAAAACGCCTTTTCCTCGAGCACTTTTCTTCTCACTCCCGCTCCGTTTCTGTCTTCACCGATGGGTCTAAGTCAGCGGACGGTGTTGGCTACTCTGTTGTTTTTCCTGATCGCACTTATATGTGTCGCTTGCCTCCGGAGACTAGCATCTTTACAGCAGAACTTTATGCTATTCTCTATGCTCTTCGTCTCCTGCTTTCTCGTTGTCAGTCTTCCTTTGTGGTTGTTGTTGACTCTCGTAGTGCCCTCATGGCTCTCGGGTCCTTTAATCCAGTTCATCCAGTAGTTGTCGAGATCCAGCATTGGCTGTTTCTCGTTCACAGTAAATTTAAGTCGGTTGAGTTTTGTTGGGTTCCCAGCCATATTGGTGTGTCTTTAAATGAGCGTGCGGATGCTGCCGCTAAGGAAGCTGTCCGCTCTTGTCCCATCTCTCGTAAAGGCATTCCGTATTCCGACTTTTACCCAGTTATCCATTCCTCAGTTCTTACCCGTTGGCAGGCTTCTTGGTTGTCTGTTACTGGTAACAAGCTACGTACTCTTAAATGTTGTGTTTCCTCGTGGCCGTCCTCCTTCCACCGTAACCGGCGGTGGGAAACAGCTCTGGCGAGGTTGCGTATTGGCCATACTCGCTTAACCCATGGTCACTTGATGGAGCGCCGCCCTGCTCCTTATTGTCCTAGTTGCATTGTCCCTCTTACGGTCGTGCATGTCCTTCTTGAATGTCCTGACTTCCAGGACGAGCGTGTGTCTTGCTTTCCGACTGCCCCTCGCGGTCACCTGTCCCTCGATAGAATTCTTGGTGACTCGGATACTTTTGATATCGTTCGCCTTATGCGTTTTTGTTCTCGTATTGGCATCCTTGGTGATATTTAGCGCCCTCTGATTATTTTGCGTATTTGATGGTGCTACATAGCCTTCCCGGTTTGGTGCCTTCTTTTGATAATTACTTACTTACTTACTTACTTCTATCCATAATAAATTTGATATACAGTATATCTAGATGAGAAAATCATTAAGGGAATAAAATTATTTCTTCCATATAAAACCAGTTTATTAAGCAACCCAATTTGGAAGAGAAGTTTTTCAAATGCATGGAATCTCTCATACATATTATATAAAGAAAATATACTCTAAGTACATGGATTTCACGAACCAACTCCTGCCAAGGTATATGATAAAGGAATGTCTACAAGCAAAAAAAAAACAAAAAATAAATAATAATAATAGCAGTAAACAATCATATATTAGAGCCTAATAGTATGTTTCAAAAAATAAACAAAGCAATAGCTCATTTATCAAGTGAAAGCATTACTTTATCCTTACCTTGTAGCTGGCATACTTACCACACAAGCAAGGCCTACCTCTGCTCTGACAACAACTTAAAGTGGTTTTAATTGTAATTAAATTATAAAATCTATTAATCATTAGTTGGCATCTACAAGAGAAGTTACACAATTATCATGTATTAATAATTATCTTTTGAAGCTAATCTAATTTGAAACCTAATCTACAAGAAATTGTGTATGTCAAAGAACAAAATCATGGGTTATGTAAATTATCCATACCTAGAATCCCATTAATATAAGCTTAATACATATTTATATCTTTCATTTATACTTTGGGATAGGAATGCACATTTATAACTGCTATTGACCTGTAATTTCTGCCAGTGCTCTTCAAATAAACAGAGCACATTTAAGCCACCGTTTCTATCACACCCAAGACTAATTGAATTGTCATCGAATTCCCATAAACATTTTAAACTAGTAAAATTACAAATCTTTAAAAGAATTTCATTTGTTATAAAGTAATGAATCATTATATTAAAATTTTATATTTTGTAATAAATCTATAATTGATAAATTTTCACAAAGTAATAAAAGATCAAAGTGTTATAGTAATCTTTCATACACATCTCTTACCCAAAGCTTCTCCCTATATTTCCATGTGTTCTCCATTAAACTTGGACATACAAATGATCCCAATGTTATTACTGTTACGCCAGAAGTGAAGCTTACTAACATTACCTTGTACATGACAGTCTCTCAAGGGCCAAAGTTATAAACTGCCTTATTTCTAAATTTAATGAACAACTTTAAACTTACAATGAATATAAAAACTTGACACTAATATCCGAGCTGGCAAGAATTAAGTTGTTGTCACAGCCTTTATTTACACCAACTTTTTTATACTGTACATGTATATTACAAAATCAAACTTTTTGAACAAATTTGTATCTAACAAATTATATTTAAAAATAATAAAACAAAGCTAAAACTTGTACAGTTCTTATAAATGGCTGCCAATAATATAACATCAATTAAAATTGGATTTAAAGATGCAAGAAAACTCTAATATTGCTATGATGCATACTTGTGTGGAAGCTGTTGCTTCACACTTGTGAGCGCCAACTATATAATTCTGGAACATTTATACTGTATCATATTTTACAAAAATTAAATCACAAATATTGTGAAAGTGATACTAATGTACAAAGACAAGATCACATTTTGAGGATTATTATGAAACTGTTTGAAATAACATTTCAAGCAAATTCAGAGTTATCATCCTCATAGCATAAAGACACATTGCAAATCATCATCTTGCCATATAATTAAAAAGATGCAGACAAGATAACTATATTTCATAATAAAATCCATTCCAACAGAACCTCAATATTTCACACCGAAACAATTTGCATAGGCGACTAATATTACCTGCTGTATGCAGGATATACAAATATAATTCATAAACTACACATTTTTTCCAGAATGATTACACTTTAAAAACTTGTAGTCTTGTACACATTAATGCAAGTGATAAATACAGCTTCAGAATATGGCATTCAACTGCATTTTATAACTTTATAATTTTAACTACTTTACACCAAGGTGAAAACTAGTTTTATTTTTTAATTTGTCAAAATGTTCTCAAATAAAAATACTATACAGTATATATTATATATACATATGTATTTAGATTTAAACTGAATTACAGTATGTCATTATTAATTTTAACAATTTCAACCTATGTTGTCATATTGTCTGATAAAACTGATAAATATCAAATCAGAGAAACCCTGAGCACACACTAATACTGGTATCTGTATCAGACATTTGCACATGTATTAATGAAATTGATTATGAAGTGTTATTTTCCCACATTAGTTACGCCTATTCTAGCTAGACATCAGACTCATGTGCCTCACTGCTGCTTTAACAAAAGTTTATGAGAGTCCATCAGATGAACTTGCATGCTTGGCAACATCTACTCAATAAATCCATATTGATGATAGATGGTGGATAACTACAGTACAAAACATCTGGCTGCAGGTTATGTAGAAGCTAAATTTTGCCTGTACAATAGACTTGAATACTGAATTAGAACAATATGCTTAAATGTTGCAGCAATTATGCAGTGAGAGTTCTCGTCTGGGTAATGGATTATACCAGGCTTCATGTGTAGGCATACTGTTATGCAGCCAGACCTGCTGCCACATTTCTAATACATCTAACTTACAAAAAGGGTGTTAAATTTGTATTAGTAAAAGTCAGCAAATGGGTTCTCAAAGTACAGTAAGTCCTAAGTCGGCATAACTATGTAGTGCACCTTTAAAATCCCGTCTTTAGCTTCTCGCCAAACTTTCTCACAGCAAATGATACACAGTTCAGCAATACATACTTCAGTATATTCATATAAATACAATGATTGTATGCATGTAAATTATAATGTATGATCAAAAATTAGGGAAATTTATTTGTTCACCTACCTTTTTGTAGCACAATTGGTCTTGATACCCAGAGGCAGAAACATGTGGTTATAGCAGTATATCATGCCCATCTACTAAACTTCTGCATTCACTCCAGAACAGACTTTTGAAGTCCTCAATTTCCATGATTAATGCCATAATCTCAGCTACAAAACGAGTGTGCACCATTAAAGCCAGCCCAAGGCTACAATACTGCATAAATCAGTGGTAAATATGCACATCAAAATCCTCATGCTTTGAAGGTTTCAATATTTTTTGTGCCACTTCTCTCTCCACCACAGCTTACCATCTAATCCACAATTTATATGACCTGCTACCAATGTCATACTCCTCTGCCAGCCACTTTCCTACCCACCCACAATTACATTTTTATTATAGCTCTGCTTTTCATCCATACCAAATTCTTGCCCCTAACTGAATGTATTCATACTACTCTTGTAAAGACATGGCTTTAAATCTCAAATAATGATACATCAAAAGAGAAGTCTGTGAAAATACTCGAGTAATAAGAAGGCAGACAGTGCTCTCACATGGAAAACAGTCAGGATACATACCCTCACAGTGGTGAGGATGCCTCAAAAAACTGTCACAAACTCATATTTTATAATACAGTACAAGCCTAAGTAAAATATTTCTAAAATATATATGCATTTTGAATAATATTTACAAATAAAAAAGCAAGATTAGCAAATACTGTACAATAAAATAAACTGAGGTAACTACGTGAACTGAATTTGGATTTCCAGATTTACTTTTGAGAAAACTAACATCCATAAAAAATCATAGGGATGAATTTGGTTAGATATTTTGTGGGCTCCATTATATGGTGGCCCATATATGCAAATCATATTCAAAATAAAGAAGATATCACTCAGGATGACTATATAGGAAAGAGGTTGAAAATGTTTCAGATCTATGATGTTAATACTGTTGTCCTTGGCTATACAGTACATATGATACCCATACTTTTTTAGAATTTGTAGCCTATGTATACTTTACATCACAAAGAACACTTCACGATTACTTTATTTGTAATTCCAGCAATTTAAATAGTCTCAACGAACAATAAATTGTTTTTACACAAAAGAAATTGTCAGTATATAGCTAAAAATGTATTAATGCATTGAGAAACATCATCCATCATTTTAGCAATCATAGTTAAAGAAATTCTCATTCTATCCTAAACATTTGTCATGCTGTTTTATAAATCCTTAAAATCACTTTCATTTCTAAAAATTATAACGTTTTCTCAAAAATTGAAGACAAAAAAAACATTTTGGGAAATCTATTCTGGTATTCAATTCTCCATGGTTAAGATATCAATACATATTATTCCATAATCCACTTTATATATAATAAGTTTTTTCAATATCTTAATGCCTTTAAATCTATTATACCTGTATTCTTAGACATACACCACCTAAAGAATCTAATTGGTAATGTGGGTTATATTTAGTACAGTATTATGATAATTTCTGCTATAATTTTTATTTTATCCTAATGTATTGCTTACTATTTCCCATGATGGGATCTAACAGATGTGATTATTAATGTTTAGTATCCTCGCCTGATGTCACAGCCACAAATATGGAACTGTCGCCTAACGATGATGATGTCACCATTCCCATTCTCTGATGTCTAATATGAGCATGAAGGAGCAAGAAATCAAGAATGTAGTGCTGATGGACAAGTATTTTATAAACAAAAAATTGGACTGTCTTGCAACTATTTCTGAAACATTTATTAGAAAATCAAAATTGCAATTAAAGACAAAATTCCTAAGTTTTATAAATTTCTTTATTCACAATATTAATCTTTTTAATATACACTATACTTGAAAGCAGTAATTGTAGGCACGGAGTGAAAGTACAACAGCAATGGAGCTTTCAATAAAGGTTAGGTAAAGGAAAGAAGTGATGATCACTAAAAACATGTTACTGTCAGATCAAATTTACCGAGACCATTCAAACTGTAAATTAATTTATCAGAGTTGGCCATAGAGCAGCATTCACAAAAGTATACATGTAAATATTTGTTATTTAATAGAGCAAAGTGTATTTCATTTACAAAGGAAGAGAAATCAGAAGTGTATCGTGTTCATAAACGTTCTGACACCCTACATACTACATTCGTACAATAGCAGTCTGGGTTATCTACATGCTGCAGCCTCCAATTACTGATAAAAGATCTTTATAGCCAAATATAGAATAATAAATTTACATGACCAAATATCTGATCAATATAAAGTTACACTCCACAAGATATGAAATTACCAGTAGCTTTATATTCAAAACAATTCATCTTCACTTTGTATTTCAACAAATTTGTAACCACACTTTTAAAAATTAATTATTATAATAAATTTATTACTGAACATGCAGCATTTTTGTTAACCCTTAGGCAACGGTTATCGTCAGTTGTTGATTCACAGGGCAATGCGATTATCACGTGAAGATTTAAGAAATTATTGTCTGGGTTTTACATGTATGATGCAAATATGGATATAATAGGTCTATGTGGATGTAATGGAGTTAACCTTGACTCATGAACACATTCCTGCTACCATTTCATGGTACAACTGGGGTTATCGACAAGAATGTTACTAGGGGAACGCGGTCATCATCATATGATGATTTAAACATTTATTGTCTGGGTTTTACATGCATGACCATTTCTCCATAGCCACTGTCTAGGGGTTAAATATGTAGCACTAATAACCTACTTGCTGCACATCCACACATCAATACTAACATTGTTATGTGCTATGATTTGACAGCTTCAGAACATTTTTACAAAATTAAAATAGCTAAAGAATTAAATTCATTTTAAAATTTATTGTTTGTCCATCATTTGCAAATTATTTGTGAATTATCAAGGTTCTTATGCACATGAATTAATTTCTTAACAATATTGAACTAAAATGTTAGGCAGCAACTGTATTTGTACATAAAAAAATTTCCTACTGTATTAATCAATGTATACAAAGAAAATGTTACTATATAACATAGTTCCTAGTGCCATATTTTTTTCATGCTCCATCCACACTACACTGTTTTCTTTTAGCAGAATGTTCATTGATACAAAATTGTTGAATTTATTCTTTATCACAAATATATTCCATAATACGTTCATTCATCAATCAAAAAGTTTGATCAGTAAGGTTAAATTGACTTCACACAATAATTCTCATTCATTTAGCAAGGATATAAAGGCTTGTCTTGCAGAAACACACTTCATAAACAGTTGCAATTTGTTTGTAGTCTACATACTCTACACTGACCAGTCCTGATGATCCTTGATATTCTTGGCATTCTCTAGCCAAAAAAACACGCTAATCAGCACACTTGTTTTATTTTATGGTTTACATATATTTATCAAAACTGTTATGAGATAAATGTGAGATTAAATTTATTTTCATGTTGATAAATCTACATTTGTAATAATTAATAATATACAGAACTACACAGGTAAATCACAATAATGTTATATATCTGAGAAACTCTCTGGAGCAGGATGGCATCTGGGGTGACCCAGGGCACTGGTTTCATTCCTCTCTACTACTCCAAAGTTGTCTCGTATATAAAACCATTTATATTAGTATGCCCCTCTTAATTTCATTAATAGCTCAAGGATAATATCAGTTTAATTTCCTGGAAGCCATGAGGCGTCTAAAATAGTAAAGTACCAGATTTCTGTGACTCCTCAAAGTCAACATGTTATTAGCTATTGTTTACATAGCATTTCTGCATATTCTAAACAAAGCAAGTAAACCTTGCAAACACTAGTACTATCATTACAATAAACCGGATTCTGCATTACCCAATGACAAATATTACACTAAACTAGATATTCTTGTATCACAGCAGATTGAGAAAGGTATCCACGGTCCACCATGCCAAGCGTGTCTGAACACAAAAACTATGAAATTATAAAAATACAAATCCTGACCATCTCATGATACAGACAATATAAAATATTCTTAAAAATACAATTATCTCCTATTTCAAAATCTCTCCTTGAGAGTTGAAGTGTAGATGATGTGGGATTGTGGGTGGGTGGTTGAGACTGTAGTGGGAGCTGGGTAGGCTGGATGTAAAAACTTGGTTGGGGAATATGAAGGATGGGTGAATTCGATATGGAGGTAGTATGTGGGGAGGGGAGAGGGGGGGGGGGGTAATGGGCACAATGTGGGGTGGGGTGGAGGGGCTGAGGTGCTTGGTCAAAGTGGCCGCTTCTTTGTTAATAAACTTTTCTAGACTCGCTTCTTTAAATTTAACAAATGTAATCAGTATAAAAAAAAAGTAAATGTTTTGACTAATTAAATGTTCTTTTCTGGTCCAGCTTTATGGAGATGCACCAAGTCTCTGAGACTCCTTGCCTACCAGGAGTCTGGATGAGAATAAGGTATGTCTATGAGGCAAAGTGACCTTGGGATCAGACATCAACCCAAAATAAGAAAAAAAAAATTTAAGTGCAACAAAACAAATAACTGACTGAAGAAAATTAAGTACCCACAAGTAACTGTGAATGATCATTACAGTGATGTGAACACCCTAATTGTGATGTGCTTGACTGCCACCAGAAAACAACCCAGGTCACCCAGGGTCTCGGCCAGCTTATCCCCTCACTCGCAAGTCAACCAAGACAAAACCTCTTCACCCCATTGGGAAGAAAGGAATAGGACAGGGATGGGGAGCTATTAAGTGCCCCATAAAAGGGTATTTCTTTAAGTTTCAGGAGACAGGGCCTGCATTTCCAAAATGGAGTAGACGGCAGAAGATGGTCTCGGGCAGAGAGGCACCAGTAGCATGTCACGCATCGAAACTACACAATCGTGGCAAGTCTGAGGTATACTCCAAATACAGCCAGAAGCCAACAACCAAGATGGATCACCCAGAATAAGCCCAGAGACCAAATATCAACCAATCAGCAAGGAATAAGAGAGGACAGATCATTGGCTGGCAGAAAAACTTCCAGAGGGATGCCAGGAAATAGACAGGCTGAAGAGCCAAGCACAGACCCCCTAAACCCAGGGAACTGACCACCGAACCATGGACTAGAAAAGACCCCAGCCAAAGAATCTGGAAGACCAGGATGACAAACCTGGAGAAGAAGGAATACTGTTCAAGATGCCCACTACAAATGGCACAAGGCAAGACACAGAGGTCACAAGAACTCTAAGCCACCAGGTCCAGAGGTAAAGTAACAGTGCCACAACCAGGCCAGCTTGACTGCTACCAAGATCTAGGAAACCAAAGCACACAAAAGTAATCAGAAATACTACCATAAATCACACACACACACACTATAAGAGTAGCATGCCAAGAAAGTCCATGGGGACCTCTGACAATACAAGACTAGGGAAACCCCAAACAATTAACAGCCAGAAGCAGAAACAGAGGGAAATGGGATGCCAACTGACCAAAGCAGGGTATAAAAAAAAAAAAAAAAAAAAAAAAAAAAAAAAAAAGCAAGAAACTATAAAGAGAACAAAGAAAAACAAAGAAAAAGCAAAGAACCCAAAGAATTTTCCATGTATGACCTCACAGGGACAAGTAGGAAAGCTGATATCAAGAAGGATATACATGACACACCGTGTCTCTCAGTGCCTTGCAGTCACCCCTGCAGAACAGGAACATCAGGGCCAGCCAGACCACACCCCTAGAGATGAGAAAGAAACCTCAGAGCTTCTCAATGGTAACAGAGGACTGATGGGGAACCACAAAGCCACAGCTACCACTAAAAAGCATAGACAAACTGAACTCAGCTGGGAAATGAAACCCCAGGGATTGCTGTATACCAGATCACCATAGACCCTACAAACCCAGAGGCAGAGGAGCTGAATAGGTACCCATAGTTGGTGGTACCTGTATAATAAAAATAAAAAAAAACAGAGCTTGAACAGACATGGCCATGACTTCAGAGTAGGAGCCAAAGTAGGCCTCATTAGCCAAAATGCAGTGAGAGGAGACCATAGGGGATTTAATCAAGATACAAATCCAAATCTGAAAACACTCATGGTAATGGGTAGATTATGCCCCAGGAAATGACAGGGAGGGAAGACAAACAAGCCTTCTAGGAGACTAAGTCCCTCATTCCTAGCTAAAACACAGCGACCAATAGGGTGACAGGGCAAACCAGAGGCCTGCTCAAACAAAACCCCAAAGGGCATTGCCTGAAACATGGAGGAACAAAAAATAGGAGGTAACACCCAGCACAGAAGCCCTATTAAAACCCATGGGCTGCTAAAACAAAAGAAGGCTACAAGAAAGCTGTCAAAATCCAAGAGTTATGGCCCAGCTACTACTAGCTCACTCATAGTTAAAACAGGTAAACAAAAATCAAAACCCATCCCCCACCAAAAAAAAAAAAAAAAAAAAAAAAAGTATTTCTATAAAAAATTATAAACCCCAGCTAGAGATGGTGGTACAGAGGGGGCCCCACAGAGAACTCCCAAAAGCAAGAACAAGGACCCCCTTTTACCCTCACAGACCAAGATAATCACACATGGAAAATGAGGCGCAGGCAAGGAAGAGTGCCACAACCCACCAGGCCAACCACAAACACCAAAGCAATGAAAACACACCAGTGCTAAAGATAATGCCATGAAGACCAAGGTGAATATCCACAGCTACAATGGCAAGAGCCAACAGGGCAGGATGAGAGCATCCTTGTACAAACACAGACAGATGTTGACCACTTCAAAAGTGTAAAGTATGGAAATGGACAGAGATGCTAAAACAATCTGAGAACATAACTACATTATGACCAAAATTCAACAAGGACAAGGAAAATCAGCCACCTGGCCCATCATGCAGGCCAAACCCTAAACCCCGACCATAAACATTGGACACAGAAAGGCGTAGGCAGCCAGAGACAAGGACAATCACTAATGTTATCCAAGCAGCCAATCTATGAAAGCATAAAGTCCTAACACTTACAGGGAGCAGGGCCAACCACATGTACACAGCTGATTACTGCACCCTTCATTAACACATGCCACAAAGAACAAGTCCTGTGCATTATTCTGAAGCAAGGTAACTCAAAGGTTGCCAGTTTGTAGAGAAGAAACCTTAACACCTCAGAGCAGGTATCTTTACTTGTCCCAACCTATCTCTGTTGGGACAGGTAAAACATGAGACAACTACGAGAGAAAGGAACTCTGGATTACAGTCACAACAAAATACAAAGCTATGGGACACACAATGTGGGGTGACAAACACAGCAATGAAGGGAGGGGGGTGGGAAGGAGCAGTGGCCTAGCCATGTTCCACGACTAGCCAACACCACTTAGCTTAAGCATGCAACTATGGATGAGCCCAGTCAGAGGTCATCTACTGCTGCATGCTTCAGCATCCCTTCGATACTGTGACCAAGTGAATGGAAGGGCAGGCTGGCAGGGATCCCAAGTGAATGAGAGGGCAGGCTAGCAGGGATCCAAAGTGATCTGGGCTGCCATTTGGTTGCAGTCAACTGCATCAATAGAGGATGTTTATGAAGCAAGAAAAACTGATTTGTTAACTCTGAGTTTCTAATTTTCTTTGCATTTATGCCTTCTGGTGGGAGTAACTCATTTTTGTTTTTGTTTCTCTTGGATGATCTCTGATCCTCGAGCTCCCCTCCTTCTCTGTAGAGTGCGGCAAATATAGCACCTGAATCCAATAGGTAAGGGTGGATCTCATATGCCTGGTGCATCTTTCCACAGCTTGGCTTGACCAGGACTTAGGTCAGGAAGCAACTGAGGGTGCCCTCTCAGAAAATCTGTGTCACTTGGTTGCACTGTCCAATAATGAAAAGCAGGTTAGTTTATGATATATTTAGCTACACTGCTTAATTTCAATAGCAACCATGCTTTTGGCCTCAAACTTAAGTTTCAAGTCAAAATGATGAGGCATTCTCGAAACATTGAACAGGAACCATGAGAAAGAAAAACTAATAATTAGACAAAAAAAATTACAATTAAAACAAGGTAATAGTTGACACAAGCTATCAATTAGTGCATAAGAGTATTTCCAGTGCATGTGAACCAAAATATAAAGTAAGTGTGCCTTAAAATTCTTCCATTTCCAATTTAAGTTGCATTAGCTTTATGCTTGTGCAACTTGAGCTTTAGTTCAAGTACAAGATATGCATCAAATACACAGACAATCCTCCATAATGTTGTAGGTTACAGTTCTATCAGCCCCTTCATATTTAATGCATAGACATGCCAATGTCAACGTGAATGATAGACAAAGAAAATATATATATATATATATAAATATATATATATATATATATATATATATATATATATATATATATATATATATATATATATATATATATATATATATATATATATATATATATATATATATATATATATATATATATATATATATATATATAGAGAGAGAGAGAGAGAGAGAGAGAGAGATATAGATAGGGTGAGACAATTTTTTATGTCTCCAAGACTTGTACAACTTCCCACCCTCTCATTTCTTCAGTTTTATTTAGAAGCTCAAAATATCTATCTGTTCCAATTTTAAGTTTCAATCTCGGTATCAGAATACACTTTTGTAGAAAAGTCTGCAATATCATATATCTTGTACTGCAGGGTTCTGCATACTTTCAAATTTGCAATTACCTGCCATGGCAACTCACTGTACATTATATTGCCTTCTTAAAATTAGACCACTTCAAAATGGAATATGTAAATAGTTACTCTTGCAGCATCTGATAAAATTATAGAAATTAAAATTAATTATGCAGCTAATACATCCTCGTCTGGACACGCGGATGTTGGAGTTACAGGAGATAATTGTTCACCAGGTCTACGATAGGTTGCCCAGCGAGCATCATCAGATTCGTGTGTAATATATCGAACACCAACTTTTTGTTCTAGTTCCCTAAGATCACACCAACACTGATAGTCCTGAAGCCACAGATGTGCCAGTGACTTGTCCACTGTAAGACGTTTCCTCTGTTTTACTTGTAACAAATTGGTAATCAGGTCAATAGCTGAAAACAAAACATGAAAAATTAGCCAAAAATCCATGTGGATCAATAAACAAACTTAAAAATTAGGAAAATTCAAACAGTGTAATTAGGTTAAACTAGATATGATTCAATGGCACTAAGGCTATTGGAGGTTTTTTTATTTTCCTACCTTAACATACAATATCTTCTGAAAAACAATTACTGGTACATAAAATTAATTAAAATGAAAACATGCTTGTGAATTGTTTCTCCTTTTTTGTCTCAATTTGAGAGAATAAAGCATTGATGGGCACTCTTTCTTTTGGTTGTGTGTGATAGTTGGGAGGTCACTGGTGGATCTTATCTCTCTCACAGCTTCTCTCTTGGATTACTAGATAGTAGCAGTAAATACATCTCATCTGGACTGGCCTTCTAGGGATTTTTCTGTACCCATTTCCTCAGATTAAGGTTATTCTTTCCGTTTTTTCCAGGCTGGAAGATTTCAGGTTAGGTCGTTTTCCTGGCTCAGTTGTGGGCCAGACCAACCATGGTTCCTGGTCCTTCTTGCTCATTGTCACTTTCCACTTCCCTTCCCCAAGTGTCATTTCTCAGCAGATCAGCAACCAGACATTTTGGAATATTTCTCGGTTCTCCAGTGATCTACATGTATGGAGGTTTTGACACTTTTGTATAGTGATTTGTATGAGGGTTCAAGTGGTAGATGTTTTGGCATCTCCAATGTGTTCTTTCCATCATTATGATGTGGGTTGAAAGGCTTTTCATCTGTTCTTGTCCTTCAATCTGATTTCCTCAGCTTTGGTTGCTTTTATGTCTGTCTGTCTTTACCTAGTTTCCCTTAAAATGCCATCTCATGCTAATTACAGTTTTATCCAACTGATTGGATTGGGACAAGCTTTGTTCTCAATTGTTTGTTTGTTTTGCTTGAGTATATACTGAAGACCAGCTCACAAATAAGCCGTATCCACTGGCTTCTGGAGAGCTATGATTAAAATTATATCTGAATTGCTGCACCATGATTATAAGATACTCAATACTCTACAAGATTATCAATATGACTTCTAAACCCATACAGTAATCATGAATTATATATGCAACATACCATATTTTTCATGTGTCAGTACAGGTAACATACTGAAATGCAAATAATTATACTCCTTCAAACCAAACTACTGAGTGCCCAACGTTATGAAACAAAAAGTATATCTAAGCCAAAGGAAACATTATTACACTACAAATATATTTTATATATAATTTAAGAATTAAAATAAGCACAAATGCATTTTCTATTATTTGCTAATCTATATATTTTTTTTTGCTAACAATCCAGATTGGTAACACAATATATGTTCAAAATATTCAATATATGTTATCACAATATATGTTCACAATATATATCATCACAATATATGTTCAAAACTAAAGTAAAAAGTGATAACTTACCTTCTTGACTTATTTCTTTCCATGGATTAGGAGGATACATGAAGGCAGCATTCTGAATTTGATCATTAATGTCCTCATCTTCATTAAATGGGAATGTCCCAGAAAGAGAGACATAGGTAATAACACCTACTGACCACATATCCAGAGATCGATTGTAGCCCTTATTTCGCAAGACTTCTGGGGCTGTAATAGTTTTAAGAGAGACATTATTTTGTATATAAGTGGTCAGAATACAGAGCTCTAAACAGTGTAATCTCTTTCGGACCTCCTTACAACATATTTCTATAAATAATAAATCAAATGCACTTGCCAAATTATCCTTCAAAAATTTCTCATAAATATAGGAACCCTTAAGTCATCACAGTGAAAACTGATTCATTACATAAAGTAATTTCTAGCAAACAGGAAATGGAAAGTGATTATGATCAGTGTTTGCAAACATGACAAAACCAGAGAACACATAGAAGTAAAGATGGAGACTAGGAAGAATTGAAAAGAATCTTGGACAGATTTCCAGTATCTGGAGGACCCCAAGAAGTAGAAAACTTTTGTAGTATAGAGTGAGACTATTTAGGGTTACCATCCTAAGAAGTTAACTAGTGAAGAGGATGGGATAAAAATATATACTTAAAGTAATGTACAGGATTCAAATTATGAGGTGGCACCAAGTAATTGCCATTGAGTAATCAAATTCAATTACAATGTAGAACTGATAGTAGTAGTTACACCAAGAACCAGGATATAGAGCATGAGATGAAACAGAAGAAAGGACTTCAGGAGGGTTAAAGCATATCTGCAGGATGTTTAATGGGAGACTGAAATAGTTCAAAAGTATAAGGAGGAAAAGAAGACAAGGAAAAAGGCTTGGACAAAATATAGTGACGTGTACATGTGCAGGCAAGGAGTCACTTAAGACTAGAAACGTGTACTACAGAATCCGGAAGATGGCAGAGAAGCAGTTTCAAACTAACACTGCCACAAAAGCAAAAGACCAGCCTAAGCTGTTGCAGCCATATACTGAGATACTGAGGAAAACAACAGTATGAGATCACACTATGCAACTTGATTAGTGTCCAAGAAGGGGTGACAACAGATGGAGAGAATCAACAGTAGAAATTGTTTAACACTATTTAAAGTTACTATAGAAAAGGTATAAAGACAGCTGGAAGAACTGGATTTAGCAAAAGCAGTAGGATCAGACCAGGTATCACCATGGTTACTAAGAGATTTGTATTCAGTAATTTTCCACAAATTAATCCAGTCAGATAGTTTGAATGTCTTAGATTAATAAACATGTATTGGAATCCTGACCTGTCCCCAAGCTGTATTCATATTTTATTCTTTGGTGAAGATTTAAAATGTATTGTAAAAATCCCTATTATAGTTGCTAAATGAATTACTAAATGAATTATCAACCTTTTTTATATCAAGATTCCAAAATAACTACATAGGATTATTAATGCTATCCCATAAAAATTAGTTCACTATTAATGTTTTGCAGTACCCTTAAGTGAAAATGCAGTATATCTTGAGCAACCTTAAAGTAAATATTACGCCAACCTACCTAAGTAAGCAGGCGTTCCAACAACTGATCTTCTGAAAGATTTTTCTCCTATAATTCGGGCAAAACCAAAGTCACACAGCTTCACTTGAGGAAAGTCACTAGCAGATGACAGGAGGACATTCTCAGGCTTTAAATCACAGTGTACGATATTCTTACTGTGAAGATGCTTTAGAGCAGCCAGGATCTGCATAAGCAAGATTATCATTATCTCTTATGAGTAATATAAAAATTGGAGACAAAAGACACATTCATTGGAGAACATATATTTAGAAGATAAAATAGTGAGATGAGCATCGTGAAATGCAACTTTGAGGGTGGTACCTGGGTAACTAGTGAGAGCTTACTGCACCACACTTGAGGAACAATTCCAGTTCAGCAGGCACCTATGATTATCTCAGCCCCACTGAGAACAAGAACCAGAATCTTGCCTCTATACAGAGCAGGGAAGCATGCAGGAACCACATAATATTCCTACAAGATAATTCTTCCTAAAAAGCCAAGAAGTGTCAAAAACTCAATTTGAAAAATGTTTGGAAAACACCAAATCACCAAACAAAATTCTGTAAGAGGCATACCTTGAACTTCACAACTTCTTACCACACCAAGGTGGAGGTGTAGAGGAAGATTTGTACTTAGTAAAGCTGGGGGATAGCTGGAGATGTGAGGGGGATGGGCTGGAGGTGCAGGAGAGGGGAGCTTGAAATGTGGGGAAGGGAAAACAGCTGGAGGTGTGTGGGGGATGGATGGCTGGAGGTGTGCGGGATGGATGGCTGGAGGTGTGCGGGATGGATGGCTGGAGGTGTGCGGGAAGGGATGGCTGGTGGAGTAGGGAAGGGATGGCTGGTGGAGTAGGGAAGGGATGGCTGGTGGAGTAGTGAAGGGATGGCTGGTGGAGTAGGGAAGGGATGGCTGGTGGAGTAGGGAAGGGATGGCTGGAGGTATCACGTGTTGTGTCCGGTGATGGCTTTACACCACTTCCAGCGGGTCACTGGTTCTGTATCAGTTGCCGTGCTCTGGGTTGATCAGGTTTCCCTGGTTTTCAGTTCCAGGGCTCGTGTATCTCAGGTTTTCTGCCATGTCTAAGTCTAGCAGCCATGTGGTCTACCCTCATGCCCATGAAGTTTCGAAGTGTGCTGCTCTGTAAGCTGTCTTTGGATGGTTGTCGGGCTCATGGGTTTTAGGGGTCGCATTCTTTGTTTTCCTTCTTTGTGGGTAGTTAGCTTCAGAGAGCTGATGGGGCTGCCCCCCTAGAAAACCAGCAATGAATGTAATGAAATGCCAGTTTCTGGGTCAGCCCAGGAGGCTCCCTGACATCCTTCCTCCCTCCGGTCGGAGGTTTTCATCATTCAAAGAACTGGATGGTGGCAGACCAGTTCCCCTTTCCCATGCTGGGGGTGGGATAAGCTAACAAGCGGAGGGTTAGTTGGACAAAGTTTTGCTTTTTTATTTGCTTTTGGGGGGAGTTCTTTTGTGCTTGTGAGAACGTAGCTCGCAATTTTCAACCAGACAGTGGTCTATTTTGATTCGCTTATCTTTCTGGGTCCTTCCCTGGGTGATTGCAAGATGACATACTTTAAATGTAGTATTCATGGCCATTGCTCCCTTCACCTCTCTGATGGGGGACCCCAAGTTATGGCTCATGGTCCATAGGTAGGCTCACAAAGGACTCTAGGATCGATGACACTCAAGTAGTATGGTACTTGATTAGTAAGACAGCGTCAGGGAGCTGACAGGGCTCCCCACAGAAAACTCTGGGTTCATTCTTCCCTATTTACAAATATTGTACTAGATGTTACAGAACCAAACAATTTATATAAAAGCATCACTTTCCACTGGACTGCACTCCTGAATAATGAAAGCAAGCAAGGTCATTATAATTAATCCCAAAAGTTTTATGAGTAAAGTCAATCTAACAAGGCATATCTAGATATAACAAAAAACTGTAATGTTAAAAAATATAGGTGCCATTTGCCTAAACTTTCCAAATAATTAGGAAAATAGTAGTCTCTCAAAATCCCTCAATCCCCAAAATACATACAACATAACGGCATGGGAATCTGAGTACTTTTTCAGTACTGTTGCATAACTGTGTATACACATTTTCTGTTACCTGATATATGATGAATTTTGTGATACGTTCTGATAACTTGCCACGCTCTGATGATAATATCATCTCCAGCATATCTCCCTTCAATTTCTCCATTACAACAAAAATTCTTTCTGGGGTTTCAAACATTCTTTCTAGGTTGACAACACCCTGTAAAAGATAATTACATTAAACTTTAGCAAATAATTTTTTTTGTTTTTTTATTTAGTACACAAAATATATTGATATTAGTCTTGTCACATAAAGCAGTACAATATACCAAAATTGTAAGAAGTCTGATATTGCCATTCAAATCTAAACCTGACAGTATCTGCTAATAGATGCATTGTAAAAATGACCAGTGGTATCGACCACTGAGCCAGGCTTGCTACCACGACAAAGCGAGGTTAATAGTTTTTCTCTAATAAAGATTTGTCATTATCTTTTGTAATGTTAAGGTTGTAGACTAGCCAAACACTTGTAACATGGAGAAATTTAAGAAAGAGAGAATAATGTCTTATAAGTCTGAAACCATAGAGCGAAATGATGAAACCAGACATTTTTCATGCTTTTACTTTTTTGCAAAGATATGCAATTGCAAACAAGGTATCCAATAAGCAATCAAACCACATATGAAGTTTGGAATGATGATTCCAGACTTAAAGGAAAACTGCATAATGTTTGTTAGCAACAGGTTTGTTTACCGGATTGCTGAGATTTTGCAGAATAGCAACTTCATTTTTGAGAGCTGCCTCTTGCTTAGTAGGAAATCGCAGCTTGTCTATTACTTTAATAGCAACAGCACGGGAAGACTTCCGATGGACACCTGTGGAGACGACATCAATACAGTACCAAAATAATAAAATGTTTTTAAACCGTGGTTTATCTGAAGCAAGCTAATTCTAATAAAAAAAATGGATTCATGATTCAAAGAATATTTGATTACTGTACAGTATCTACATACTGTAATATATTTACACTGCTTATAAATCATGAACAGTAATTCACTTTAAATCTTCTAAGAATTCTATTGGCTAATTGTCAGATTACTAAAAGTTTTATACTGCGAAAATCACAACCAATAAAAGATTTTTCTCTTGCTTTGGATTCTTCATTTCCTCTAGAAACTACCTTTTCTAACTGGGGTGATCCTGTGTAGAGGCTTTATTACATGTTTCAACAATCTTCAAGAGCAAAAGGTGTTTAAGTAGCACTTCAAACACTTGCTTAGAAACATTACATGCTAGTTTACATATAACAATAATGAGGCAGGCACTAATTGCTTGTCCTTAGAAATAAGAATGTGAAACTAAAATTGAGGTAATAGGAACTTCGTGCCATTAAACAAAAATACACACAATAAAAAAGCAATACTCTTTACCTGATGCTAATAAACTTAACGAAACACGTTTGAATCAAATGAATCAAAACCTTGCATGATAAATTCTGTGAATTGGCATTTGAAAGCATAAGATTAATGACCAGAAAAATTATTATAAAATATTTGCATTTTGTTTAAAGATAGCAATTGCATTGTTATTTGAAAAGATGAGAAGTTTAAAATTCAGAGTTAGTACATTAAATATCGTATCACACACTTCACACATGTAATGTCAGGCATGCAAACTTTACACCAAGGTGATAACTCACCATTCAATCTATCTGGTTTCTCTACTAAGCTAATACCATCTTGCTCAGGAGTTTACTGTAGCAAACATGCATGTGATTAAACTAAATTTAAGATATTAGTTATGTACATGTAAAGAAAATACATAGTATTGGCAAATTAAATCAAAATCTATTTAGATCAAAGACATTTACTGAGCCTTATTAATAAGAACAACTTTGCCACAGGTACTGTATAAAGAATCAACAGCCAATCCCTAAGCGCTTCTACATACTGTAAATGTGCAACCATTAAAAAGTATTTAAAACAAAATGCAATACTACTTTAAAAGCATAAGGATGATACAAAATTAAAATAAGTATGCATAAATTCCAAAGATTGGTGGAAACCACATTAAGATTTACAGTATTTTTTGAGTTACGTATTCCATTCTTGATAGACAGGAACCAGACCTCTGAACCTAACCCTGATATGTTCAAGCATGTTTCATCTTCTGCCTTTTTGATTCATCACCTGCTCTCTTCCTTCCTCTTGGCTGACTGACAATCCTGTTTCTCAGTTTGGAAACAGCTGATGGTTTGTCAGTTCAATGCTCCCTAATGGAGTAATACCTCTTATTTTTTCCATATATATTTGGTGGATGAAGTCCTAAATTTTCTGAACAGTATTCACTTTGTCCCAATTCTCTTTCACAGGTGACGTGCTGATTTTCCCTGAGTTTAGCACATCATTGTCGAGAACTTAAAAACGCATACTGAACTCCTCTAACAAGTGCGATAAGTACTTTGCCTACCAATATCTTTTAACTTCCCAAGTGCATTCAGATTAGGTTAAACTAAAATGATGAGCACTACCTAGTATAGCCCTACAGTCTCTGTTGCATCTAGTTCATCCAATTGTCTTTTTAACTTCCTTTTATTGACTACTATAGAGTGCAACCTTGATTCGGCGAATCTCCGGTTAGGACGCACACTTTTCAGGCCGGATTAACTCGCCCATTTCAATGAACTCTGGTTCACTGAAGCGGGGAATGAGCGGATTTGCTTATGATGTTGGGACAGAGTTCACAGACTGGTGGAAAACTTGGTGGAAAAAAGAAAATTATATTTCTAAACCAAATATAAAACTAAAAATATACTGTAATATGAGAGATATCTGCTATTTGAGAAAAATAGAGGTACGTCCAATGCGAGGGTGTGTCTTTTACGCGGGCAAATACGGTAAATAAAACTGATACAGTATTTTTTAGTAGAGCAGTAACATGTAGTACAGTATATATTATGATTATGAATTTTTATTGTGTACAAGAAAAAAAAAAAAAAGAATGATGCAAATGCCACCTGGAGGCATCTCCTGTTGCAACGAATCCCTCACCGCAATGAAAAGGGATTGGTCCCAAATAGTTCGCCGAATCTAGGTTGCATCGTACTGTACTGCCAATATTGTTTATGGCCATTTTTTGTCTCCCACCTACTGCTTCCAATCTGGTTCTATTTCGTAGACCTTCTAAAACTTGACAAGTTCCTTGAACACAGTCTCCTTAGCCTTTTCAAATGCTCATTTACTGTCACTTTCCTCCGTAACTGGTTATGCAACCACCAGCCCTTAGCATTTATCACTTACAATTTTAAATTACTGCTCTGGTGTATTGATTTCTAGCCCTCGTATGTGCCTTAATCTCTGTGCAAAATTATCTATTTCCATGTGTCAATGATATGTAATAACAGCTACCTGACAAACATTATGCCATATATTATGTCATGAATGAACGTTTTGTTGAATCAACATGGCATCCACACATAAATATTACATTAATTGTATTTTTACCTTTATACTAGTTGTCTTGCAATCAATTTCATTCTTTTTTCTAGATAATGTTAGGTTTTACTTCAAGCAAATTTCAACATACTTGCATATGACCTTTAAGATTATTAGGTTTGTTAGTTCAAATATATACAAATAAAGCAATTTCATCACAGATGTGACACCTAATTAAGTAAACATTAATGCTGCATGCATATACAAGTCCAATAAACTTACCCCCATAAACAATACCAAATTGGCCTGAACCCAGGACTTCATCAGGGAATATTTGATAGATCTGCGAGATGTCATTACAAGTGGCTTCTTCCTTATCCATTCCCTGTTGCTGAGGATAGGTGGGAGTTGAGCTGGACTGAGGTGTTACTGGCATCAGTGCTTTACGGATCTCATTCTCCCACACCTACAGAATCAAAACACATATTTATTGTTTGACTGCATGAGGGTGACCAATAGAAGTACTGTATCACCAGCCCAACATATCTCAAGGTTCAAGTACGATGATTAAGTGAATAGAGGGGGGTTATGGTTAAAAAGAATGGTATAAAAAGAGGGGTTGGAGGGAGCTCAGTCCCAATAAATACAAATATTTCAATACTTCTATGCAAACTCAACAAGCTTTTTAAAACTGAATTGCAGTGGTGGGTAAACATGAGACACAACAGGACAAACAATAATAATGTAGGCATCATTGTGGTATCACAAGAAGTAAAATGTCACCTACTAGAATTGTATATAAGGGCAGTAAAACTTGACCAGGTATACCATTGCTATTAAAGGAGGATTTAGACACTTTATACAGGAAACTAGCTACTGAATACAAAGCCATATTTGAGGACTCCCAAATATCTGGGATACAGCAAATATGGTACAGATATTAAATAAGGTGAAAGTTTTCCTAAACTAAAGAATACTATTCCTGAGACAGAGGAGAAAACAATTTAGGAAAAAAAAAACTGTAGACCATATGAAGACATGGATTTTGAGGGAGCCATAACGTCCAACAAATCTAAAAGAGTTCAATGACAGGGTGACTAAGAGAGAACAAACAACAACAACAACAAAAAAAAAAGGCCAAGAAGACTGCGTCTTGCTAAACAACCAAAAAACCTTAGACATCATTCCCCACAAAAGGCTAATACACAAGATGAGGAAGCATGCAGAAGTATCTGGGAAGGTACTTAATACAGTGAGGATGTAACTGCTGGACAGGAGAAAAGAAATACCAGAGTTGAGAGATTTACCAAGTAGTGTTTCCACATGGCTTGTTTAGGCCTTACAATAGTGTCTCAAAGTATTCCTTTGTCTTAACCTGTCTCATCAGATCTGCAGTGTAAACACTTACTTGTAGGAGCTCATCTCTTCAGAGAACATTTACACAAATCAGGAACAAATTAAAGATTTTTTAAACAAATGGCTATTAAGAATTCAATCCAAGTAAATGCAAAGCATTGAGAATATGGGTTGCAGAAAGGCCATAATAGTAATACAACACAAAAGGTTGGCAATTGCAAGAATCAAAGAATAGATAAAATAACATCAGCACCACAAACATTTGGATGGCCTTTTTAAATCCTAAACTTTTTTCAAATTTTATGTATGTTCCTCAATGATACCATCCCAACAAAGATATGAAGCCTATACACATTTCAGCAAAATAAATATCTTGAAAATTTGGTAGTAAATACAGTATAGAAGAAAGCTAGAATATAGGAGAAAGAGGAGATATGATTGCTACATACAAAGAAATAATAGTAATCGACAAAACTGACAAGTTTTTGAAACCTGCAAGTTCAAAACAAGAGGTCATAGATTCAAGTTACAGAAACAAAGGCGCCAAAAAAATATTAGAAAGTTCTCTTTTGCAAATGGAGTGATAGACAGTTGAACAAGTTAAAAGAAAGGTCGAGTCTATGCCAAATCCACTGTCGGTGGTTTCAAGGCATCATATGACAAGGTGTACTGGGAAGACGAGACACCACGAGGATAGCTCTCATCCTGTAATGCTTAGGTAATCAAGTATATAACTAACAGACAGATTAATAAAATAATGGCAGAGAAGAAACATGAAATTCATTGTACATAGTTCCACAAATTTTTGCCACTGGTATAATTATATATACAGGTAGAAAAAATATATATCAGGAAACACTTTTTATTCCTGATACAGATATTTATCACACAAAATACTGATATTTACCTTTGCTAAGTAGATTCCAAGACCAGTCTCGGGAGCATTAACAATGGGTGCTCCGTCCTTCTTGGCAATAGGTTCTTCACCAACAAAATAGTCAACATTTGCAGTTCGAAGCTCAAAGCAGTGTATTACGCCTTTTGATATATCTGAGTCAAAGAAAGGAATAACACTTAAGTTTAAATCACAAAATGTCATGCTGGCCACATAGAATGTTATGTTTTGAAAACAATCCCATGTTAATAGTTAAGGTTTATGGAAATGTGACCAGCAATAAAGTAATATTAGCACACACAATAATTGTAAAAGATTGCAAGGAAAATGGCTAGGGATGAAATATAGATAAAAGATGAGAATTTTGTGAGAATGTTGATTCAGGACTGAAAGGTTAAAGTTAACCATGATGGAGCAAAATGAAAGGCTGATTGAGTCAAGGATGTAAAGAGGTCTTTTTTGAAAATGCATGTGTTGTAATATAAAATTAATATATCAAGAATAACAATTACAATTGATAAAGATGATAAAAACATGTTTTAAAATGAGTGAATGAGGGTATTCTGTAACACAAAGTGAACAAGTGAGGGGTAAAGTCAGCTGGGACCATGGGTAACCTAGGTAGCCAACTGGTGACAGTTGGGTGCATCACAGTTAAGGTAGGGTGGTTTTCTCAAAGGTAACAATGGTCTACCTTATTGGTTTAATTGCATCTAGGCTTTCTAGTAGATTTTACCCTGGTTTTGGGATGATCTCTCATCCCCAGGCTCTCCATTGCCTCATAGAGCAGAACAGATACTGGTTCTGGTTTCAGTAGATGACAGGTGGATCTCGGAGGCCTGGTGTGGCCTGGTGCTAAGACTGGGTTACCCAATGTATAAGCTAGGAGAGCTACTTGGGACCCACTAGGAAAATAACAGTGGGTCTGATGGAATGTGAGAGTGGTTTCGAGAGTTCGTATGTGAGAAGAAATAATTCAGGGTTGTTGTTGGAGTGGATAGGTAAGTATGCTCTGAGTGCATATTATAAAAATTTAAATTGTTGGTCATTAAATAAAAACTTATGGCAAACACACTATAAATGTACATTACATAAAGATATGTAAAAATGTTCTTGACAATATTTATAACACAATATATCTAATATATCTGATGCCTTCTTGCTACATTAACCATTTTAGTTCAGTCAGGAGAAACTAAAGTAATTTGCCAATGCCACTGCTAAGATTATAACAATTAAATTGTCTATTAACATAATTAATGCTATTTTTTAACGCATCTGTTAACTCTTGAGATGTTGCCAAAGTGAATATTCCATAGGAGTGGGGCAATCACACTATCTTGGGACATATTTGCTTCAATAGCATGCCTGTACGAGTATGTTTTTATTACCCGTTTCAGTAAAAACATTTATATAAATTATATAAGTATATATGTACTTATTACATTTACATTTTGCTGTATTGTGGCATAATGCTGTAGAACACATTAACTAAAAAAACACAGGGAACAAATTTGTCAGTTTTATATCAAAATACAATGGGATTGTGCAATTTATGGAATGCAATTTATGCAATGCATACCTTTTTCAGAAAAAATCATTGGATTTCATTGTTGTATTAACACATTACATGGATGCCATTATTCTAATGTCTGGCAAAATTGACCATGAATTTACATGAGAGCTAAGCTAAATTCACCACCTTGTGGCATACAGCACTACTGCCGGCAAGGAAAATACAAATGAATGTGAATAATACAAAGATTAAAATTTTAATTAAAATACAATTTTGTATGTAGTTACAATTGCAAGTGCTAATGCAACACTGTAAAGCACAATGCAGGATCATGCATAAAGCAGTGCATGAAATATGGCTCCATCTGAAGGGTGGAGAGGTGGAGACAGGGTAGAAAACTCATGACGTATGTATAAGAGAGATCATCTTATTGTTTATAATGTAGTACATTATAAACAACACACAAATAATATCACCCAACATGTAAATACAATGGCTATATAAAATACTTGGTTTGCAATAATAAGAATTGATTTTGAATAGCATTTACTCTATTCATATCTTCAAGTATTTTCCTTGATAAATATCAGTTTCTGAGCACAGGGTATCTGACAACTTCCTTAAGGACTAGCCTTCTTCCTCATGGACATTACAAACTCCAGTTTGGGCCAAAGCCAATTTTCATTTCTGGATATACCCCACAACATAAAGAAAGATGGTTGAGAATTTTTCCATCTAGCCCTGCATGACTACTAGAGGCCAAAAACCATACTGTATATGGGTTCAAAGACCAAGTTGCAAATATCAGCACACCAGCAAAACCACCACACCTCAAAGTTACCTTGAGGAGGTTCTGAGGATCAATGTCCCCGCAGCCCAGTCTCCTGGGTTTTGGTCTGGTTAACCAGGCTGTTAGCCACTACTGCTCGCAGTTTGATGTATGAATCACAGCCCACTTCACCTAGTATCCTTTCAAGGTGATGATAAAGTTTTTTTTAGCACTGGGGTCAAGTAGTTGTGCCCTTAATATTTAGAAAGAGTATTGAGAAGTCTTGGGCCTTTATTGTTCATTGAACTGCCTGATAGCATACCCATTGCACCTTTACTTTTGAGAGGCTATTTTGCACATTTCTACCAGGCCTCCTGGTCTCTTAAGGAGTTATTTGTATGTGTACATTTGGAACTAGTCCCACTAATATTTTACAGGTATAATTTGTTATGTAAATGGCTTTCTTTAAAGAAATTTTATAGAATTGGCCCTCATTAATAATTGCAGTAATACCCCTAATATCAACCAAGGACTTTTCAGGACAATTTCCTCCTTGCAAGCAAAATTGCTTGTACACATTTAAATTCATTAATTTTTTAGCTAGTTTTCATTCTTTGCCCTGTAAAATTATGGCTATTGTTGCTTGGTGTTGTCTTACGTTACAATACAGTACTTTGTTTTATGTCCCCTCAACATCGTAATTTTATTTTTATTTACATGTTTCATCCCTTATGTAATGACGTGAAATATTTTAGACTGCCCTAATTATAGGCAGTTCTCTGTTAATCTCTACACCCATTTTCTAAAAACTAATAATTGTTTCTTCCTCATTAAATCCATTATTTTTTTCTTAAGTTCAATTAAGGTAACTTGATAATAGTTTACTATACTACCATATTTCATTTTACTTTCTTAATTTTCAGTTTCTGCCCTAAACTGCTTCTGTGTCCACTCAAATAATTCATCTTTTGTTCTTGCTACTATCGTTCTCATGCTGACGCTTGATGAGCTACTGTGCTTATCCATTTTATTGCTCCCCCTTTCCATGCTGGTCTTCTGGAGGCAATAGCAATTTATTTTGGTAATTTCTCCCACTGTCTCTGAAGAGGAGTACAACATGCATTCAAAAGTGTACTCAGTCAGTCCTTTTCATTCTAATGTAATTATTTTGCCTTTTTTTAAATCAGTTTCCTTATCAGGTTAATGTACACATGTTAGCACCATGTATCCCACTGATGTAGCCTGCATACAACTTGGTTATTACCTTTCTATATACCCTGTACTGCATGTACCAATGAATCTCAGTACAGGTGATAACGCATCTGCAATAGTTATTATCGTTAATTCACACACCTTAACTCTCACTTACCAGTTGGCTGTGGCTGTTTGGCAGTTTCTATATTTAGCACCTCAGAGAGCTGGATTTCTTTGTAATATTTGGTGCTAGTTTCATTTTGATACAAAGTGATAGTTTTTGTGTCCAGACGCCAAAAATGCCTCTTGCGCTGCAAAAGACAAATAAGTTGAGCATAACATTACCAGAGAGAAAATAAAATGCAAGATATATGCTGTAGTCACATATATAAAATAGTGAGATATGGACCAAGTAAGCAGGAAAAGACTGCTACACAGAAGAAATGTAACAAGACAACCCAGGTGGAAACTGGAAACTCAAATGAGCTAAGGAGATATAAGCAAATGCTCCTTCAGTGGACAAGTAGACAATGAGAAATGAACTGAAGGAAGAGGTGGTAATGGGAAAAAATCAAACAGCTGACACTAATAGGAAAAAGTGAGTATTGTTATGCCTGATACCCAAAAAGTAAAGTATTGGCCCAAGAATTAATCCTCTTTACCCACCAGCACAGTTAGGTAATTACTAACTATTTTAATAACAAACTTGAGTTACAAAACAGGGAGTGCTGCCTAAATGAATTAGTAATAAAATACAAAGAAATGTTCACTTCTTTTAAATTTACCATGCTGTCCTTATTTGTGAAATGAACCATCCATCCTTCCTTGAGCACCTTTGATGGTCGTTTGGTGTGTTTTACTGACTGGACAATCCTCATCAATGGAATGTTGTTACTAGCAGATGGACTGCAAACAGTAAGAAAATACTGTATTAATGAGTAAATATAATTGTAAAATAATTCAATACAAACTTTAAAGACCTTTTTCTCAAAAACCAAATAATGATATCTGTTGCCCATTACTTAAAGATGAGATACTATATTTACATATTTAGGATGTGGGAAATAAATTCAGAGAAGCCTACCCAGAAAAGGGCATTTCATTACATTCAAGCCTTGATTTTTGGATTGGCCCTCAGTAGCTCCCCAGTGCATACTCCCAATGGTGCCCTAGAGAGGAAACTATTTTTAGGCTGAAAGAAACAGATTAATATAGGAGCCAAGAGGGAGAGACTGACCCATGGGGTGGCAAGGCCAGGAACCCAAAGTACATATGTGAACAGAGGAACTAGGCAACTGGAAAGCACCCGAGTGTCAATCGGGCCCAGCAAGGACAGGTGAACATGTAACAGGTAAAGCACCCAACACACAGTTATGCCACTAGAAACACAAATCCTGATTAATATCCATAAACATTAGCAGCACACACTTGCAAGCATCATATATATGTGGATGCACATTAGACAAGTCTGAATTGAACCACCACACATCTTTTGATCTTTGCATAAGGCACCAAATAAACAGGATTGATAAGGAGTCACAGCTCAGGAAGCATGAGCAGCACACAAATAACACAGCACAACAGCAATAGGACAGAGGGCATGATACACTACTAGCTAAACAAAGCATCCTCCAAAAAGCCTAAGAAGGCTAAAGATGTATAGAACTATTCCTAGGATGAAAGTAGCAAAGGCCTACTTGTGGTCAAGAGCACGAATTTTGCAAACATGATTACCAGAACTCAGAGCCAACAAGAAAGCCATCTTCAGAAAGGAATCCTCAGTCGAGGGACATACAAGACACCGAGATGAAGATAATAAGGCAAAAGCCTAGTCCAAGAACCAAGTAGGCTTCTGAGGAACGGGAGTTGGCAGGAAGTAGGCCAAAGAGAATCTGCAGTCTAAGGAAAACATCTACCCCAAAAGCAAGCAGGAGACTGCCAAGGCAGAACTGTAGGAGATACAGGATTAGCTATGAGACAGTGCTCCATAGAGTGCCATGATAGAGGGGTCATGGCCACTTGTACAGAAATGGAGGAAAACAGACAAAATTAAGCTGGAAGCACTACCAAGACACTTCTTACTGGCACCAAGGACACAAATGTGACACAATAAGAGCCACCACTTAATTGCTAAGGATGGCAGAACTAATAGCTCAAGAACTCCAGAGGGAAATATTGAACAAGCCAGGTAAATTTGGCTACTGATTGTCTTGGAGGCAGAATCCCAGGAACAAAAAATGATGGGCACAATAAGTAAGAAAGGCCTGGAACCAGGGTTGAACCTGCCCCAGAGGAGCTAGTGGAACAATGCCACCTGTAAATGTCTCCAATCAGAACAATATGGGGAAAAGGAACTGGATTGGAGGAGAGATACGTAGATTATATCAAGTCCCATCAATTCTTTATTTTTTTCAACTGGAATTTCTAACCAAGATGAGGAGCAACAAAAATGCAATAGATGGTTCCATGTCAAGGAGAGATCCACTTGTGGATAATCGAGCATATTGCAAAACCAATGGGCAACCCATTGAAATTAGATGAAAACAGAGTCCATTAGTGAGAGTATTGAACACCCATTCCCAAATCTACACAGTAAAATAATAACATACTGGAGTGAATGATACGGAAGCAAATGCAGAATAGAACCAGTGAAGAGCAGAGGTATCATAGGCACAATCAGAGAACATTGTATAAACATCAGAGGTCCACAGTTGTTTAACATACTTCCAGTGAGCATAAGAAATACTGCCGGAAAAAAGGTGGACATCTTCAAGATTCTTCAAGAAGTGCCAGACCAACCGGGCTGTAGTGGATATGTGGGTCTGTGGGACGATCCAAACAACAGCCTGTTAGACCAAGCTCTCTCAAGTCAAGGCTGGCCTCGGACCAGGTTTGGGGAGTAGAACTCCCAGAACCCTGTCTTGGTACAATTCAGGTACCTTCCCAAAAATGGATCACACTGAGGAGTAAACACAGAGAAGCCAGAAATAAAGCTATCCTGAATCCATCCCCACAGGAAAAGGAGGAGAGTGAAGCCCGCTCTGTTGAGACAGCGGACCACCAGCATAAAGAGTGGACTCTAAGGTACTGCAAAGCACAGCACAAAATGTATCCCCAGAAGCCCCATCCAAAATACCACAGACACGGTAATACTTACCAACTTCAGGTGAGGGGGTCACAACCCTTAACCTGCAGGGTAAACGCTGGAAACAAATTTCCCATTCTCAATGGGCTAATTTCACAGTGAAATTTAAATTTCAACCTATCACACGATGGGCAACTTCCCACCCATCTGTCAACTTGTCAGCATCTTAAGCAAATCCACACCTCCCCCTGTTTCAGCAAACTCTTGTTCATTGAATGATGCGAATAAATCCAGCAAAAAGTGTGTGCTGCAACTGAAGATTCACCAAAACGAGTTTCAATGTGTCAACGTTCCACTGTACTGTTCCGTTTCACTCCAGGTTGTATGAGCATTTTGAACTTGTTCTGAACTGTATTGGTTGTTGCAGTGTTGGTTCATGACATAGTTGCAGAAATGTTAGGAGGGGTAGTATTAGCTATAATTGGGGTGGGGGTGTGTGAGAGGGGGGGGTTTCTACCTGTTACAATATCATCCATTTTCTATGCTCCACCTTTTCATTCCTCTGTTTCACTTTCTTTTCCAGACCCTTAGTTCTGTAGTCCCTTAGTTCTTTTTCACTTCATTTTCATATCCAGTATTCCAACGAGTATCTTCCAATTTTTTTTTTTTTTTACCAGATTCTCTTTATTCTTAAATAAAGTTTTTCTTCCTAATCATTATTCTCTCTTTCCTTCCTTGCTTCCTCTCTCACTTTGTTTGGCCACTTTCAAGTTCTTATATCTAAAACCCAAACTCATTGCTAGTAGCACTGTGTTGCTGTTTACACTCCTTAATAAGGATATCTTCTCGCATTTATATAGTTCAGTTTTCCCCATGTAGGTGTGTGTATATTGATGCTGGGTATTTCCTGCCCTTGATGTACCTCACAGTTTTCTGTCATATTCTCTGCTCCATCTCCTTCCTTGTTTCACTCCCCTTATCATTCCTCCTGTCACCATTCATAGTCTCCCTTCTTTTTATTCAAAGAACTCTCCAACACTTTTGCACTAGGAACAGAGCTAAAAGTCTAACGGAATAAATAAATCTGAATCCTTAAATGACTCTCCAACATATCACTGAATGGAGCAGAGTGAAGCTCCATTTTGTGGTAGCAATATCAGTGTCATTTGTTCAAGTTGTGGATTGAACTGGTTTCAAAATCATCATTCAGTGCATCCTACTTTTTGACCTGTCATACAGGTACAAGAATTCCCTCGCATTTCAATGATTTAATTGCATTTCTTGCTTCCTTTAATGTCTCTTGTCCTTATTTCTCAATTAAAATGGTTTGTCATACTCTACCTTGCATAACTCAGAGTATCCTATATGTAGTGATCATAAACTACACAGGTAATACTTCTCTCGAGCTCAGACTTTTGTTCAGACTTTGAGCTCCCATAAAAGTTTTCATAGCTTAACTCATTTAGTTCTGGTATATATTACTAATCTACTTTGTGCTTCACAAGATGCATACTCCAGTAATGGTCTCACGTGGGCTCTGAATATAATCTTCAAGTCATTCTTGTTTAGATTTATACTATATATGCATTCTTATGTTTGCCAGCTTCCCATATGCCACTGATGTTATTCCGATTACATGTGTCCCTGGTTTCGGCATTAAAATTGCATTCACTTACAAGCCCTATTCTCTTTCAGATTCTTGTTATTGCCTTAATCTTATAGGAGAAAGCAGTAGTCCCAGGTTCTCTCTCCATCTTGTGCACAAGTCAGTTGTGAGAAACAGTATCAAAAGTTTGTTGACAGTCTAGGAAGATGCAGGCTACCCAACGATGGAATAAATGGTCATTTCAGTTATCCATGCTTCTCTATCTTATATTAAGCCTCTTGTAAACAGTATTAAATGCTTTTTAAACATTCTAGGAAAGTGAAGTTGTTGACTAATTACCATTTTATTACACTTTGCAATTATGAAATAAAGCTCAATTCTATCATAACTAGGAAGCATTCAGGTTTCAAAGTAATACGATGAAACATATTTAAACAAAAAACAAATACAACATTAAGGAAACGACAAGGTTGCCATGGGTTTAACTTCCTAATAGTGAAATAAACCTTATTTTTATAATCATTCGTAATTGTTGTTGGCGTCAAGTATATATGACGACACATTCTAAAGGTGCTAAATAGAAACCGAGACAAAAATAAATATTACAGTAAAATTATAATTAGGAATATCAAGGTAGCAATTTATAAGCTTGAGCAAAAACATATGATTTATTCATCCTCTGTTCAGGGATTATACCATACAGAACAAGAATTAATGACAATGATAAAACACTTGCCTAACAAGTTACTGTATATGTTATAACATGAACAAATACCAATGTGAAAATTTCATTATAATCACAAATGCCAATTTGTATGACTATGGCAGGCACAAAGCCGATATGAGAGCTCAGGTGTAAACATTACTAACAAACCAAAAATAACTAAATCAGGCTGGAGTTGAACAAGTCAAACCATACAATGCATAAAACAAAACTAAGCAACTAATTACATTAGTAACCCTATTCTTAAAAAAATTAAATTAATGCTAACTAGAAGACTGCATTATGTTTACATACACACACACCTGTTTGGTCTTTGCCTCAGAACAGTATCGTCATCAAGACCTTCTGCATCCATATGAAGTGTAGATGGTGGAGAATCATCATTGTCACTTTCATCATCACGAGAACCATCAGAACCGGTATCCCCATCATCTGAAAAATTTGTGGACGTTTTGCCATAAATTATTTCATCAATATTTATGTGAAAAGTTTTATTTACAAGATGAAATTTCATACTTTCCTAACAATTAGTTAAATTTATATTAATATTTCTTACCTGGGCTTACTGCCGATCCTTACCTTTTTTGGGTGCTTCTCCAGTACAGTCCTTTGGAACTCTCTCGGAACATTTCTTGTGAGCATTAAATTTGCAGTCTTTACACTGAACGCCTTGCCTAAAAAGACCTGTGGAGGACACCAATCAATGTGTGTTATATAGAGTATCAGAAACACTGAACACTGCTTCTCATAATTATAAAGCTTCAACTGCCTCTGAAAACTACTGATGACTGGCATCCGAATGACACTGCCCAAGCAAACAGCCAGCTGCAGTTCAAAGCTGTTATGTCCAATATATATACACAGTATCTAAAACTCTTCTAGTGATGTACTTACAACCATAAATAACCAATATCTACTTGACTAACATTCACAAACATCCGGTACTATGGAACCTACAAGAATCTCCTGTTGAATGGATTCAACAGACAAAAGCAGAGCAATTTGTCGATACATATTCAGCAATTCTAACTTAAAAGTTTATTCAGTAGGGTAGGTAGGGCTGGAGTAGGGAGTGTCACTGGCTGCATATAGAAGGGTGACGGCCTCTGGCTTGCACGTTTAACACCCTGCTCTATAATCTTTTGATTAACCATTTGTTGCTCAATTCCTGCCTTAACATCAATAGACTGGCCACTTAAAAGTTCTTCTAAATTAAACTTATCAGCAGCCACCTTATATGTCTAATTCTGGATAACTAATTATTTCCCATATAATTACTTCCTGTCTTACTTCTAGTCTTGACATCCTTGTGAAGAATAACTTTGCCATACTGGCCTTATCTCTTAGGATGTCAACATAACTTTAATCACCACCAACATCACTACTGCTTCGTGGAACCTTCAGCCATGATATAAATAAATTGATCAAAGGCAGCAGGTGGCTTTATTTTTCTTACAGATTTTCCTCAAACCATAAGAAATTGTATTGTTTATTTCTTTAGCTTCACTGTACCTTTTGTGCGTGTCCTGGAACAGTACAGTACTCGCTTATCCCTGTCTATCTGTGCATATCTTACTTCTGCCTTCCTCATAATAGAAATGTGTACATTAACAGATTATGTACAGTAAGTGCAGCTTTTATTCCCCTAAAATACTTTATGCTCAATACAATGAATTCAATAGGGCCAAAAAATTTCTGAACAGCCTAATTGATTCATTATAAGTGACAACTCCCAAGACTGTTCCATAGATGTGTAGAGAAGAAAATACATATTTAAAGATTTAGTTCAATTGTCCCTTTTACTGTAATTAATGCCAATAAATTTTCTTTTAGGAGTTTTGATGACTACATAAAATGCTATCAAATATGAAGATTGGAAAGCTACATTTGTTTAATTGAAATCTGAGCAACTGATGAATGCCAAGTAGTACTGAATAACGTTTCTTGATGGTGCTGTTCATTATGCATATTCATTAATATTACAATGGCAATGGCACCTCAATTAACGAGTTTAATCCGTTCCGGCACCAAGCTCGTCATGTGGAAAACTCGTCTTGCAGAACAACAAAACTGTCTTCTTCGGTGTCCGAGAACCAGCGGGACCCAGCGGGACCGCTCATTAATCGAGCGAAAACTCGACAGTCGAGACATTTTCTGCGAGTGGCTTGCTCGTTACTTGAAATGCTTGTAACTGGAGCCACTCGTCACTCGAGGTTCCACTGAACAGTATATGGTTTGATCCAATACTTTGAGGTTATTGAACTAATTTCTTGTCATTTTAACTTGAATTGAACATCTCTACTTCCACTTCATTACACTTCTAATTAAATCCATTTGGACATTACATGCTTATTTTCTCATCCCCTTACATATACAGTATGTTATTTTCCCATCCCTATCCCAATTATAAGAAAAAACAATGCTCACTAAAAACCCACCTTTCAGCAGCTTCTTGCAGTAATGGCAGATGGTAGGTGTGGTATAGCTGTGTAGGGCAAATGAATGTGGCACCTGAAGAAAAACAAATCATCATACATTTATGTCTAGAAAAAATCATGATATTTAAGTCACCTTACTTTATTAACATCTAATGCACAATGCAAAAACTAAAAAGGTATTTATAATTTAAATCATTATCTTTCTGTTTATACTAGCCTTTTATTTAATAGAACTTTACACACACATTTATATGGCCATATAAAAATGATAATAAACAATTATCTTTTAACTAGAGGATATAATAAAAAAAAAGGAGCATGCAAAGCAATACAAAAAATTCATTAGTTTCAAATAAGAAGCATTTCAATGCTTTCATTACAGAGCGTACCGAGCCAAGTTACAAAGAATCATTACAGAGCGTACCGAGCCAAGTTACAAAGAATCATTACAGAGCGTACCGAGCCAAGTTACAAAGAATCATTACAGAGCGTACCGAGCCAAGTTACAAAGAATCATTACAGAGCGTACCGAGCCAAGTCACAAAGAATCCTTACAGTGCATACCGAGCCAAGTCATTAGAAATAATTTATTTTAACATGTCAATGTCTGAGTGTGCTCCATATCTAATGTAAAACACATACACACACACACACACACACACACGCCCAGATGGAACATCGCCATGGATACTACAGGAAGGAGCAGAAGCACTGTGCCTGCCACTCTCCATGGTGGTAAATCACTGGTAACAGGTGAACTGCCAGAAATTTGGAAGACGGCAAATGTAGTCCCGATATATAAGAAAGGGGGATAGACAGGAGGCACTGAACTATAGGCCAGTGTCCCTAACTTGCATACCATGCAAGTTGGAGAAGATTGTGCAAAAAAAGTTAGTAGAACATCTGGAGCAAAGGAGCTTTGTGACAACTTCAACATGGGTTCAGGGAAAGCAAGTCATACCTCACAGGATTAAATGAATTCTACGATCAGGCAACAAGAATCAGGCAAGAAAGAGAGAGGTGGGCAGACTGCATATTTTTGGATTGCTAGAAAGTTTGTGACACATTACCACACCAGATACTAGTGCAAAAGCTAGAGATGCAGGCAGGAATGAAAGGGAAGGTACTCCATTGGATAAGGGAGTATCTAAGTAACAAAAGACAGAGTCACTGTGAGGGGTGAGGTTTCAGATTGGCAAGGCGTCACCAGTTGAGTCCCGCAGGGTTTGGTCCTTGGACCTTTACTGTTTCTGACATACGTAAATGATCTCCCAGAGGGTAATGAATCGTTCCTCTCATTGTTTGCTGATAATGCAAAAATTATGAGGAGGATTAAGACGGAGGAAGATAGTACGAGGCTACAAGATGACCTAGACAAACTAAATGTAGCCAACAAATGGCTACTAAAGTTCAACCCGAGTAAATGTAAGGTAATGAAACTAGGCAGTGGAAACAGGAGGCCAGACACAATGCAGAATGGGAGATGAAGTCCTTTATGAAACTGACAAGAGAGAGATCTAGGAGTTGATATCACAACAAACCTGGCTCCTGAAGTCCATATAAAAAGAATAATATATGTGGAGTATGCAAGGCTGGCTAACATCAGAACTGTTAATTAAACTGTTAAACTTCAAGAATCTGTGCAAGGAATTCTTCAGAACCTTGAATACCACATATATAAGACCAATCCTGGAGTATGCAGCCCCAGCAAGGAGCCCGTACCTTGTCAAGCACAAGACGAAGCTTAAAAACGTTCAGAGGTATGCCACTACGTTAATCCCAGAACTAAGAGGCATGAGTTACGAGGAAAGGCTGCATGAAATGCACCTCACGACACTGGAAGACAGAAGAATAAGGGGGACACATGATTCACTACCTACAAAATTCTCATTGGAATTGACAGGGTAGATCAAGATAAACTGTTAAACGCTGGTGGTACATGAACCAGGAGACACATGTGGAAACTGAGAATCCAAATGAGCCACAGGGACATTAGAAAGAAAATTTTTTAGTGTCAAAGTAGTTAACAGATGGAATGCATCAGGCAGTGATGTGGTGGAGGCTGACTCCATACACAGTTTCAAATGTAGATATGATAGAGCCCAGTAGGCTCAGGAATCTGTACACCAGTTGATTAACAGTCGAGAGGTTATCCTCAACCCCACAAGCACAACTAGGTGAGTACAACTAGATGAGTATATATATACATACATACATACATACACACCCACCCACCCCCACACACACACCCCCTTCACTGCTAGGTGAAGAGCAATGATAAATATGATAAATATAATAAATATTGGTAGTTTGTGGCTTCTCCCCAATTAAGATAAAGCAAAGGCATGCAAATGTATTATGACATGACAGGCTGAACATCATCATATTATAGTTTGTGTACTTTTGCTGGTTAGCAATGATAAATAATAATTGCACTGAATGAATGAAATGACCAATATTTATCTTTTTTTTTAAATAACCTTGCACGATAAAAAAATTATTCTCCAATTTACAAAATAATTATAATACACATGCATTAATACATAATACAGCACCCATTGAACACCAGTTCAACATTAATAATGTCTACCAACACCAATTTAATATTACTGTATTAATTTCTACCAAAATGCTTAAGTTTTCAACAGCTGCAGTTTTAACTTTTTTCTATCACCTCCACTACAATCCTAACTCTATAACCTTTAGTATGACAAAGGTTAAAACATTCTCTATCAATATATATTGCAAGACCATGACCATAAATCATGGCGAGATTCACCGATTCACTGTGTAATTATATCATTGAAAATATACAGCCTGATGCTTAACATTTACTGCAAAGTAATATTCATTTCAGAATTCTAGGTCAATAAATTGTTATATGGGACATCTTATCTGCATCCTTTAAAGTTGAACAAATAAAAAATGATACAAGCTGTACTGCAATTCTAACAATCTTGTGTTAGGTGTAGTACAAGACATTTACTTGGGATTGACTTGTGAAGAATAGCTAATCAGTGTTTCAGTTAAGAGAGACTTCAGAACTACTGTAGTGATTCTTATACCATTGGACAGCAGACCAGTTGCCTTTTGTCGACAACGCAAGGACTATCACTCGAGTGAAATGGGGAGGAACTTTTTGCCAGGATTCATTTTCTATACAAGCAGTATGAACAGTTGAGAGGAGTGCAGTGATTGCAGGAGAGCAGGATTAATCAATGTAGTGCAGTTGAGACTGCACTGCATTGATTATTTCCGATTTAGAAAAATATCAAGATATAATATGGTTTCGGAAAAATTACGGATTTTTAAAAGGCCACCAACTTTATTATTTAATGTAGAAATAATCACACTACCAAAAACAAAAATTAAAACTTTCTGTACTAAGTGCTGAACAACCTCTCAAGGTTTTAGTACATGGCCCATTGGCCTAAACTTTATGATCTACAGTATAACTATTTTGTCCATCTTATTGGCCAGCCTAGCAGTATACCTGTACTAGTAAACTTCCTCCAGCTTCTCATGATGCTGTATACTTCAGTACTTGTTCATGTCTGAGGTGTACAGAATTCTAAAAGTCTCCCTCTTAAATTATTTAAGGCTTTTCATACATTGATATTCGTGCATAAGCTGCATATGTTTGTATGTGCTTCAAGTGATATTCAGTGATATTTAGACTTTTTTTTTTTTTTTTTTTTTTTTTACACACTGCCTGCTTTTCTGTAAGATGGAATACCATCACTGATTTTGCACTTTCTCTAATTAAACTGTTAATAATTATCGAAGAATTTTGGAAATTTGCCCAGATTTTACTATAGATTTTTGCAATCCTCTTCTCTCCCTTTTCTTATTAATTTTACATCATATGCAAACATTACAGATTCTCTGTTGTCATTCAATTTGTTACATCTATGAAGAACATTATATACCCAAAGGATTCACAAACATGATGGTACATTACATATTTCCATCCTGACCTTTCTATCTGACAATGCCTTTTTCTCCATCATATTATAGCCTATTTTTTTTAATTTTAGATATTAAAGGCATAGTAATGTTGAGACCCCCAACTGTCCACCACTCCATCACACACTGTGCATTTAGCCTCATATCCTATGCTATAAAGTATAGCACAGGATGTGGGGTCAATCCTCAAATTCCGACCTACAAAGAGCAAAATTGACCTCTAGAAAACAAAGGCTGCTGATATGGCTGAGTAGAATGTTAAATGAGAAAAATGAAGCCTTTTTAGTTTTTCAAGAAGAAAAGTTTAATGTGCTAGGCTTATGGAAAATAAAACTGAATGGAAATGAAAATGATCAGCAAACTGGAGTAAATATTATGAAAACAAGAGTAATCAAGCAAAAGGAAAAAGTATGCCTGCTAACAAAGAATAGAATGATGCAATAAACGACCGTGTATCAAAGTTCCCAAGTTTTACATTCAAGATGGAAGGGCAAGCCGGTAGTTGTGAATGTATATGCTCCAAATGATAGAATTGAGAATAAGAAAATTTAAAATAGTTTAGAAAATTAGGTCAGTCTAATACCAGCGAATGCCATGATGGATATCAAGGGTATAAATTATAATGACTAAAGGAATAAATTACAATAACTAAATTAAATAGTTTATTCAATGAACGACAGTTATGTATTAAGGATACACATTTCAAGCACAGTGATATATACAAGTTTACATGGTCTAAGTGCTTGCAGAGAGAAATGTTAAAATGTGTACTGTATGTGATACGAGAAAAATAAGAGAAATATCTGAAGGTTTGTCTCATTAAATACTAATGCTATGGAGGTTCAGAATGAGTGGTAAATGGATGATGGCATCTCTCAGGAATCCAAGAGGTAAAATATAAAGTGTGAAGAATGACCAAGTTAGTCAATAAGCATAAAATAAGAGTTCAAATGATCTTTGCACAAGAGACTATGAGCATATGAAAATCAATGTTTTGTTAAGGATATCATTTTTGCAGTGTTACACAAACTGATATAAACATGAGAGAAACTGCTCGATGGGATAAGGAAATAGCAAGAACAAATAAGTAAATGGATTTTGCAGATA